AAATTATCATTTTTAAACATTTTTTTTTACATTTTTATTTTTTTTTTATATTATTATTTTTTTTTTTATTTTTTTTTTTTACATACTATCACCCTAGCAGTACAATGTCACCATGGTGACACTGTACTACTTGTGGGGGGTGATGAAGATTTTTTTTTTTTTTTTACACTGATTGCTTTTACACCCATATAGGATGTAAAAGCAATAATTTCTCTTTCTCTCTGTCTGCATTCTTGCAGTCATTGAGAAATACTGAGTGAGCTGTGATTGGTCACACCTTGTCACATGGTACAAGGCTGTTGTGAATAGCCTTATACCATATGACCTCTGTGATCATTCACAGATTTCACACGTAGTAAGCAATGATGTCACAAGTGACATCTTGCTTACTACTTTGCATGTGATCACTGATTGGCCAATCAGTGATCACGTGATCGGGACCTCGTACAGAGGTCCGTCCGACGATCGGTGTTTCACTGTGTCCGGAGGACACAGCGGGCACCGGATCGCGGTGGTGCACGCTCCCACGGAGCGCGCACAGCTAGAAAAGGCGGGTGCCGTTTAGGAACGGCAACCCGCCCCTGGACTGCCACCGCCCTGCCGTTTATAAACAGCAGGCGAACGGCAAGAGGTTAAAGCCCAATTGAAGTCTTATATACAGTATCAATGGTATAAAGTGAGCGCTCCTGGGTAAGCAGCTAAAGCACTAAAGGTAATCACAGTGTACTCATAAAATGACAAGTAAAACAGGGTTGGTATCCCCTCTGATGATGTGCTTTGGCACGAAAGGCCTTAGGAGGAACCGACAGAGCATGACGTCATTCCCCGCCACGAGATAGCCCGGCGGCCATTTTAACTTAGGGTCAGTATCACCGCTGCATACTCTGCTGTATATCACTTAGTTAATACAGCTGTATACTACCCTGTATTCATCACATTTTTTGGCTAATAAACTTGATTAAAATACTACACTATGGGCACCTGTCTTTTTGGCTCCTATTGGGAGCTAAATCAACTTGCAGGATTCCTGTAGTTTGACCTACCACCACCAGAGGGACGGAGCTTTGGATTCTGGCTGAGCACCATACCATCCTTAAGGGGACCTCCGGACTTCCTATATGTTTTCCCAGGCTGATTGACCTACAGATTGAAGTTTACCCTCTTCATCTAGTATAAAGATTCCAGTGGATATTAATTATATGCGCATTTTCCATGCACGTCCGGTGAGTGTGCATTTTTTCAATTGTTTCCTGGTTTCATCAGCTACCTTTTGGGACTTGCTCATATGAATCAATATATTAATCACGGACCATTTTCTTTTGCACTTTATATACAGTATTTTAGCGCTGCACTCTGTTTTACTTATATACAGTATCATTCTTTTCTTTTATAGTATGATATTGCTAGTGAAACGTACCTATTTATTCTTCTTTCTCCCTGCTATTGTGCAGCATTGCAATAGGGGAGGAAGCAGTGGTGTATTTAGATTTTGTGCTGCCCTAGGCAACACAAAAAATGGGTGCCCCCCCCATGGAGAGAGCCTGACATTGACCAACAACACCCCTGCCTATCCCCCACCTGAGAGAACCTTCCACTAACAACCCCCCCAGCGAAAGAGAGAAAGACACTCACTTTCACAGCTCCGGACATCCCCAACAAGAGTCGGGCTCCGAACAAGAGTCGGGCTCTCCATACACCATGAAGAAGCCAGCAACCTCTCTCAGATCCCACCTGGTCCCCATGCCGCATTTGTCCCTTCTTCCGTTCCTTCTTCCAGGGGGCGGTGCTGCCCCCCTGAAAAATGCCGCCTTAGGCAAATGCCTTGTGGTAAATACGCCCCTGGGTGGAAGACTGGATAGAACAAAATAGTGTATTGAGTTTGACAAGGTTCATTGAGTTTTATCTGTAGTCCTAGGTAGGGGTGCACAACTTGCAATGGGTCTACACTTGTGAACAGAGCCATCACAAAGACGGAAGTCAGTTTATGGATCTAAAATATATATGAACCCTCATCTTGTAAAACAACCCCTTCAGTTTAAAATAGAAGTTGATTTGAAATTATAAACACCTTTTCCCCCTTTTTTATATGTGATCATATACCTTCTGTTCTCAGCTGCATATGGAGAATAGACAGCTTCGGGAGGAGAAATATTAGCACACCAGTCTTCCCAGTGAATGGCTGTGCAGATGGCATGCCAGGACAAGTCTGATCATGGAAGGAGAGCAGGATGAGTTCTCAGCAGAGCTAGAAAAAACTAACCATGCTGTGCTCTCATGCCTAGTGTGGTCCTTTTTTTTTTAATGGACTGGCAGGAACAACACATATACCACACAAAGGAAGCAATACAAAGATACCTTTTTCATAGAAGTACATGGTATAGATAGCATATATCATGACTAGTGCACAAGAGATAGGCTAGTCAAGACCCCCTACACCACCATCTCACTCTCTCACATACCCCCTTTAACATATCATTAAAGAAAAACACATAACACTGGTTGGAGAAAAATGGCCAACACGGCCTTTTATTAACACTTTAATACACAAAACATTCCTTAAAACAGAAACATATTGGAGGAGTTGTTGGTCTTCGAAGGCACCAAACCAAAACCGATATCCTCCTACGGAACGTATATTATAACTAGGCCTCCAGCCGCAACGCACCAGCTCGGAAACAAAACATACCATCCGCAGTGCAGAACCTTCACCTTCCAGTTAAACCTTGGTTAACTGGAATGTTCCCGGGCACACCATACCACGGATGGGTCCCAAACCATTATCTTTAGCTTCAAAGTAAGTGCCGCCTCCAAAGACCAACAACTGCCACTGGAACCTGAACAAAAAACCTGGGGAGTGACAAAACACCCACACAACCCCAAGGGAGGGCAGGAGGGCGGGAGGGAAGCTCGCTCACCACTGTCTCCTCCTGCACTGAAATGACGACCCTCCCCATCCACACCCAAAGGTGTCAAAGACCCCACCCTACACCCCCCAGTCACCAATCAGGTAACTTGCCCATATTCTAACTCCCACCTTTTCCTTTTAGCCCTTTCCTGTCTTTACTAACCCCCTCTTAACCTAGTCATGTCTGCCCTACGCTATTTTTCCTTTCCTTCCTTTCGCTACGGGCATCTCTGGAATATGAAATGTTGGGTTGACATATTCTTTAACCTCTTCACACCGGCCAAACGCAAATGTGCGGCGTCCCGGCGTCTGGGCCTAGACGCCGAGCGGCCGCACATTTATGTTCTATTAAAAAAAGGACATATGTGCCGAGAGCGCGCGCGCCCTGCGTGCTCCCAGCACACAGGTCCGGTACTCACAGAAAAGTCCCGATCTCCTCTTTCGATTGGGACATTCCCCGATCATGTAACCGCTGTGATGTTGCGTCACGGCAGTAACATGAGTCTAAACCCTGCCCCGCCTCCCGGCTTCTGAAACCGGGAGGCACCGGCGTGAAGGGGTTAATCAGAGCAATGACACCGGCAGCAAAATGAATGTGCATACTGTAATGTAAGTAGCAGGGGCTACGTAATGTTAATAGATTTCTTGACTTGGGTTTAGGTCTATAGCGGGGGTGGGCAACTGTGGCCCTCCAGCTGTTGGTGAACTACAAGTCCCATCATGCCTCTGCCTTTGGGAGTCATGCTTGTAACTGTCAGTTTTGCAATGCCTCATGGGACTTGTAGTTCTACAGCAGCTGGAGGGCCACAGTTGCCCACCCCTGATCTATAGTAATGTAAAATATAGTAAACATTTAATGGGGGAGTTGGACCTTTTAAACAGGAGAAAGTCCCTCTTTGTCTACAAGGTCCATCGACACTTGCCTGCAGTGCTGAATGGTTAACCCAGTCTGGACTCCATCCAAAAATGACAAGGCATGGTGGTAAGGAATGAAAAATAGGGTATGGCATGAAACCTTTTGCAATGGGGCAGTTATAAAGACCTTTTTTTACAAAAGCACAAAACTTCCTAATTACACTTCTGTCTATAAATTTCTAGAGTCGGAGCTGAAAAAGACAGCACAATGGTGTATATCCGACTTACTTCATTACATGCTATAATGAAAGCATTGCGAGAGAGTGTAAACAGAACATCAATGTAATGAAAAAACCAACAAAACAGCAACAAAAATGATGTAAAGAAAGCAGAAAGTATTTTTTTTGCTCCTAATATCATAGCAACAGTGGAATGTAAACATCTGAAGACTTTTTATTGTTGAAATAATTTAAGAGGCGTAGTTCTGGAGCATCACATTTAGGCGTATTTCAAGATAGTTTATGAAAATTATATTGTTTAATAGGCTTTTAAGTGTTTAAATGAATCAGCATTGCGGCTGCAGCCTATGATTCTTCTGGGAGAGAGGCAGAGGAATGTTAGAACATTTGGCAAGGGGGTTATAGCCATCAGACAGACCTTATAAAACATCTGCCAGAGTGATCCAGGGCTCAGCATTACAGAATCATCAGGCTTGTTTTAATCTTAAGGATGGTTATGAAATAACAGCCATAAATACAAGGACATTAGGGACTTCACGTGCCTTAACCCCTCGCCTACAGGGCACTTCTACCCCCTTCCTGTCCAGGCCAATTTTCAGCTTTCAGCACTGTCACACTTTGAATGACAATTGCGCGGTCATGCAACACTGTACCCATATGAAATTTTTATCATTTTTTTGAGACAGAGATTTCTTTTGGTGGTATTTAATCACCTCTGGGATTTTTATTTTTTGCTAAACAAACCAAAAACAACAGAAAATTTTGAAAAAAAAATTTCTTAGTTTTTGTTATAAAATTTTGTAAATAAGTGATTTTTCTCCTTCAATGATGTGCGCTAATGAGGCTGCACTGATGGGCACTGGTAGGTGGCACTGATGGGCATTGACAGGCATCACTGATGGGCACTGAAAGGCAGCACTCATATATGGCACTGATAGGTGGCACTGATAGGTGGCACTGATAGGCGGCAATGATTGGCACTGATAGGCAGCACTGACTGGCACTGATAGGCGGCACTGACTGGCACTGATTGGCAGCACTGATAGGTGGTACTGACTGGCATTGATAGGTGGCACTGACTGGCACTGATAGGTGACACTAAAAGGCAGCTCAGATGGGCACTGATGTGGCATTGATGTGCACTGGTAGGCACTGATATGTGGCATTGATGGGCACTGGCAGGTGGCATTGATGGACACTGACAGGTGGCACTGCTGGGGCTACACTGATCATCAGGGCACACTGATCATCCATGCCCTGATGATCAGTGTACATGTCTGAGGAATGTCGAGTACCGGCTGTCCTCTCCTCTGTCAGTGTGACAGCTCGTGAGGAGAGAAATGCCGATAACCGGCATTTCCCTATTTACATGTGATCAGCTGTGATTGGACACAGCTGATCACATGACCGAGCTGACGTCTTCGGCTCTTTCCGTTGATCAGTCCGAGGGGCACAGCGCACCACCGATCGCCATGCTGCGCGCTCCTGGAGCTGTGCACGCGCAGTTAGAGTAGGAGGATGTCATATGACGTCCTCTCAGAACGACGAGAACCACCTTGCGCCCGTCATTTCCTTATATGGCGGGCGGGAGGTGGTTAAAGAACTTTCACTTCAATTTTTTTCAGGATTCTGTCTCCAAGGAGACAAAGTGCATGATGTACTTTGTCCCATTTCCTACAAGTTAAAAAGCGTAGCTACGGGGCCGATCAGGGTGCTCCCCTTCACCCACAGCTGTCCGACAATGTAAGCTCCAAGGATCAGGGCCCTCCTTTCCCTCTTGTATTGAACTGTATTGTTGCTGTATTGTCTCCCATTATATTGTAAAGCGCTGAGCAAACTGTTGGTGCTATAGAAATCCTGTATAATAATAATAATGGCTATCAAGGATAACCAGTGCTTGTCTCTGCTCTAAACACTTGCCTGAAACAAGCAGCAACAAGAAGAATGCAGAGGGAAGGGTGGAGTGTCAGCCTCTCCTTCCTTTGCATTCCTCTTGCCGCCTCTTGTCTCAGCCAAGTGCTTAGAGCAGAGACAAGCACCGGTTATTAACCACTTGCCCACCAGAGGATTTCCCCCCTTCCTGACCAGGCCATTTTTTTGTGTTACGGCGCTGCATTACTTTAACTGACAATTGCGCGGTCATGCAATGCTGCACCCAAATGAAATTTACATCCTTTTTTTTCCCACGAATTGAGCTTTCTTTCTGTGGTATTTGATTGCCTGTGCGTTTTTAATTTTTTGCGCTATAAACAAAAAAATACTGACAATTTTGAGGAAAAAAAAACTATATTTTTGACTTTTTGCTATTAAACATGTCCAGTAAAAAAATGTAAAAAATCAAATTTCGGCATACATTTAGGCCAAAATGTATTCTGCTCCATGTCTTTGCTAAAAAAAAACCCCAATACGTGTAAATTAATTGGTTTACGTGAAAGTTATAGCATTTACAAATGGCGGTATATATACTGACATTTTTTTCTTATTACTAGTAAATGGCGGCAATCAGTGGAACTGCGAGACGGGCTTTCTGACACTGGGGGGAACTGACTTGGTGTCACTCTACATCCCCAGTGGCAGCAATACAGTGATCAGTGCTAATAAAAAGCACTGACACTGTTCTAATGACACTGGGCAGGAAGTGGTTAACATCTGGGGCGATCAAAGGGTTAACTGTGTGCTGTGTGCTGTTTCATATTATGTGCTCTGTGTGTGCTTCACTGTAATCACACTGCTTTGTATGGCTGTGCTATGCAGAGCCATACAAAGCAGTGTGCAGGAGCTGACAGGGGATCTGTGTTGTTTATACACAGGTCTCTCCCCCGTCAGTAATACTCGGCGATCGCTGGGTGCCAGCAAGTAATCACCATCCGGGACCTGGTGATTGACAGCCAAGGCCTCGAATGGTGGCGCGGTTAGGGTGTGCGCCTCACCTACCATGAAATGCAAAATCACATATATACTTGATTTTTGCGTACCCCTGGCGCCCTGTAGCAGTATTTCTGCTATAGGGTAGAGGGGAAGCAGTTGAGCAGCCATCTCCTTGCTAGCTACGTTGTCGGTAGCCGGTTGGGGCCATTGACCAACCTTGTAGCTAGGCTTAAAATCACATAGACAGAACACTGAAAAAAAAAACTGAAGTGAAAGCTCTTCTTTAAAGCTTAACTCCAGCCATGTTTGATTTTTTGTTCCATTTTTGAGAGAAGGGGTGAAGACATAAACTGTGGGCAAGAGGTGCAGAGGCTAGCTCTGCCTAGCGTGTGTATGGGGGGAAGGGGGTGTGAGCTTTGGGCAAGGGGGTGCAGAGGTAAACTGTGGAAGAGGGGTGCTGTGGTAAACTGTGCATGATGGGTTCAAATGTGAGCAGTGGACAAGGGAAGCTTTGAACAAGGGGTGCAGAGCAGGGGCGTATTTACCACAAGGCAAACAAGGCATTTGCCTAGGGCGCCATTTTTCAGGGGGCAGCACTACCCCTCGGCAGAAGGGGCACACGCTGCATGATGGTGTATGCAGAGCCCCGACTCTCGTTCACGGGGATGTCCAGAGCTGGGCAGATCAGTGTCTTTCTCTCTCTCCATGGGAAGAGGGGATCAGTGGCTGGTGTATGGGGGGTAGTAGTGGAAGGCTCTCTCGGGTGATGGAGGGGGGGGGGGTGGCAGGAGTGTTGTTGGTAAATGTCAGGCTCCCTCCACGGGGGGGGGGAGAGGGTGGTGGTGCTTGTTGGTGTCAGGCTCTCTCACGGGGGGGGGGGCTGATTTTTGTGTTGCCTACACCACTACACAATACAATACAATACAATACAATATACAATACAATACACCACTAGTGCAGAGGAGAACTGTGCCTAGAGGTGGGGGGTGAGTTGTGATGGAAGTGTGCAGAGATGAACAGTGGATGAGATGTTGGGGAAGTAGTGACATGGGGTACAGAAGTGAGCTGTGAATGAAACATGTAGAGGTGAACTGTCTTTAGTGGCAAAGGGGTGAGCTGTGGAGGAAGGGTGCGGAGGCAAAGGGTGCACAGGTTGAGGAGAGCGAAGCTGTGGATAATGAGTGCTGAGGCAGGCTGTGGACAAGGGTGCATTGGAGTGCAGTGGAAGAGCAGTGCAGAGGTTGGTGCTAACAAATCTTAGGGATTATTGCTGTAACCACTGAAATCAATGTTGGGGGTTATTACTGCACCCACTTGACACCAGTGTTGGTGGTTATTACATATCAAAACTTGGCTAGGGCCCAATATTAGTTCCTACACGGTAACACTACTAGGTACCATCCCTTTCACTAGTCAAAAATAAAACAAAAGCCCCTGTAAGGGGTAAGTAGAACTTTAAATGTACCTCACCAGTGTTATATAGGAGTTCTCACAATGTACCATTTGTCATAAAAACATATTTTATTTAGAAAAAATTTAAAAACAACTACAAAATGAATATTCATACATAAATATTAAAATCACATTTGGACACTTCAGTAAATGTCAGGGGCGGACTGCCCATTTGGAAACTCGGGCACTGCCCAAGGGCCCCGGGGGTCAGTAGGGGGCCCCATGAGATGCCCCTGGTACCTTTTTCATAGGCTTTTTTGAGTTTGGGCAAGGACACAGGGGCCCCATGATCCCCTATTGCCCGGGGGCCCCATGAGTTGTCAGTCCAACCCTGGTAAATGTCTACAAGTTTTGTGGAAATTCAGCTTCTACAGGACATATAAAAAAGGGCTGTTTTCATGTCAACAAGATAAAAAAAGACAATATTCCATTTGGAACAGAACCAGGCTGGTACATACTGTAAATACCAATCACATAGCTATGCTCTCACCAGGTTCCCCTACTCGGTCTATGGGAGGGCATATAAAAAAATCACACAGGAGGCAGTCAATACAGAAATGAAGGAACCATAACCTATTGCAACAGATCCAGGTAAAGAAAAAAAAATGATTTTTTCCAAGAACATCAAGTTTTACACACTGTCCTGCGCCCCTGAGTGTAACTCCAAATTTCCAATTAGGTCTGCCCCAAAGAGTGTGTTCCCTGGAATTACATCACAGCCGAATCTGTGTCCCTCCCATAGTATATTACCAAGTCTTGGATTTAAAGTCCTACTTACCCTTTAGAGGGATTTTTGTTTTAATTTTGGTTGGTGGTTATTACCCACTGACACCAATGTTGGGTATTATTATGGCGGCTACTGTCACAAATGCTGTGGGTTATTATAGTGGCCACACACACCATTGCTGGGGGTTATTATAGTGGCCACACACACCAATGCTGTGGGTTATTATTGTGGCCACACACACCATTTCTGGGGATTCTTATAGTGGCCACACACACCATTGCTGGGGTTTATTATAGTGGCCACACACACCATTGCTGGGGTTTATTATAGTGGCCACACACACCATTTCTGGGGGTTCTTATAGTGGCCACACACACCATTGCTGGGGTTTATTATAGTGGCCACACACACCATTGCTGGGGGTTATTATAGTGGCCACACACACCATTTCTGGGGGTTCTTATAGTGTCCACACACACCATTTCTGGGGGTTCTTATACACACACACCATTGCTGGGGGTTATATAGTGGCACACACACACCGTTGCTGGGGGTTATTATAGTGGCCCACACACACCATTTCTGGGGGTTATTATAGTGGCCACACACACCATTTCTGGGGGGTACTTATAGTGGCCACACACACCATTGCTGGGGGTTATTATTGTGACTACACACACCGTTGCTGGGGGTTATTATAGTGGCCACACACACCAATGCTGTGGGTTATTATTGTGGCCACACACACCATTTCTGGGGGTACTTATAGTGGCCACACACACCATTTCTGGGGGTTATTATAGTGGCCACACACACCATTGCTGGGGGTTATTATAGCGGCCATACACACCATTTCTGGGTGTTCTTATAGTGGCCATACACACCATTTCTGGGGGTTATTATAGTGGCCATACACACCACTGCTGGGGGTTGTTATAGTGGCCACACACACCAATGCTGTGGGTTATTATTGTGGCCACACACACCATTTCTGGGTGTTCTTATAGTGGCCACACACACCATTGCTGGGGGTATTATAGTGGCCATACACACCAATGCTGTGGGTTATTATTGTGGCCACACACACCATTTCTGGGTGTTCTTATAGTGGCCACACACACCACTGCTGGGGGTTGTTATAGTGGCCACACACACCAATGCTGTGGGTTATTATTGTGGCACACACACACCATTGCTGGGGGTTATTATAGTGGCCACACACACCGTTGCTGGGGGTTATTATAGTGGCCATACACACCAATGCTGTGGGTTATTATCGTGGCCACACACACCATTTCTAGTGGTTATTAATGCATCCACTGACAATGTTGGGGCTTACTTTATGTCCAGTTTTTCTTCTATGTACCCCAGGCCCTATTTTGTCTACAATATAGTTAAGTAAAGGGGAAAAGGTGACCTTCCACAAGCCTA